TCAGCTCGTCTCTCCTTCCAGTCATTTGATGCGAACAGCCACTATCGATGTATCATTCAGAGTCGTAGTGTTCGTTACACATTACCTACAAAATTCAGAGAGATTTAGGAACCCAAGCCTTCTTGGGTCCTTGTGAGGATTTCTTAAGAATGTGAAAAATATTATTCTTGTCAACCCAAAAAGACCTTTTTAGCAAAATACTATTCTGCCCTTTAAATATTTAAACACCTTTAATTTATTTTGACCGATATTAATTTCTACAAAAGAGCCTTTCTTTGTTTAGATTCTATGTGTTGTTTAGCCACCTTTTTCGCTAACTCCTTTGCCTCTTTTTTCAAATTTGCTTCGTATACCTAGAGACTTATCTCAGGTTCCAAAACAATTTTACCTTTGCACTTGACATCTTTTAATGTATTGACTAATTTTAAAAAAATTGTTTTTGGAGGAAAAGTGGATTTTGGCTTGTCAATAGATTTTAAAACTTGAGGTTTTGAAACCACTGGTTTTGCAATAGGTGATGTTGAAAAAGATTTTGATTGTGGTTTTGGAATTGGTGAAGAGTTTGTGTTTCGAACTGAAGATCTTTATGAATTAATAGAATTTTGATTGGAATTATTGTATTTTCCAATATGCTGTCTTTCTTGTAAGTTATTCCTATATCTAGCATTCAGTTGTCGTTTCTTAGCAATAAGTTCGTTAGCTGAATTATGAATGTTAGTTTTAGGTTTCTATTTTCTGACTAGTGTGTCACTCTGTTTGGAAGTCGTTTCACTTAGGGCATTTTTAGTGCCACTCGGACCAGCTTTATCGTAACAATGGTTATGCAACATATCTCACTTTCGTTTTCCATGAGGTCATTTCAGAAAGACCTTTGGTTTCATCTACATTTTTAAAAGGACCTTACCAAAAGAATTCGTCGCACACTTCTCCATTATCATTATCTACAATGGACGTTAGTTCTGAAGTATCGATTTCGTTCAGTCTTGTTTTTGCGAAAACTCGATTCGGAATAGTTTTTACTTTCGGAAAAACTGTGGCTTTTGCTTTTAAAACTATTGAACCTTTATTTTCAACAACACGAACATATTCAATTGAAATTTCAAAAATCAATTTTTTTTTAGGTTCTGTTGGATTAATGTCTAAGTCCATAACTATAATTGGTAAGACTTGACCCGACCCAGCATGGTCCATTTGGGTTGCATGGCATCATGCACTTGGATAGACTATAATGAGAGAAATAAGACACTTATGGTTATTAATATATTATAAGTTCTAGTATATTAATAATAAGAATAATAAGATTATTTAATTAGTATTGATCAAGAATTAATCTAGGATTAATTAAGTGATCAAAAGAAGACTAATTAAATATATGAGTTGATTGTGTAAATCATCCATACTTGTATAGTGGGCTAATGCTCCATGGATTATCTAGTTGGGCCAAAACCCATATGATGCTCCATGGATGCTCGATGGTGTATTTGAACCCATGGATCCAACGAAATGGAAAGTCATGACAATTAGGGTTTGCCCTAATTGTAACACTATATAAAGATATTATTCTTGACAAAATCGGCACTAGTATTATTCTAGAGAGGGCTAGCTGATTTTCATGAAGTGTAGAATTCTCTCAAGTTATTCCAAGTGTATTTGGTGTTGTGTGAACCATTTGAGGTGTCACACTTGGGGCACTAGGCACTCAAGCTTCATGAAGACATTCTACATCAAAGAGGTATGTATTCTATCTTGTTATATTGATAGTTTTGTATGCTAGATTAGGATAATACCTTGGATGTTCATATTTGCATGTATAATAGAGAAAACATAGATCCAAGGTATTTAGGGTTGCATGTACACTTAGGAGTGTTAGAATGCTCATAACCCAACAGGTTCAACCTCATTATGAACAAACGCTAAACAATCTATCTCATCATCTAAAGAAATTTCACTCATGTCGCTTTCATCAAATTCAGAAATGTTTTTAGCATCAAAAGTATTTTCTAAACTTAATTTCATTCATAACGAGTCATATTTTTGCACAATATTAGATTTAATATGTTCTTTATCCTTAATATCCAACATTTGTTTTAAGATATTCTTATGTTCTTTGGACCAAATGTAAGCTTCTATTTTGTCAAGCCTAATTTTGTACAAATCGGAAATATCATCAGAAGAAACAATATATTCACACTTATCGCACTCGGCATCGATTTCATCCTCTTTCAATTTAAGAAAGGGTAAAATCATTTTATGTATATTTTTACCTATTTCACAATCAAGATGCAATTGACTAATATTAAAATATAAACGCTTTGCAATCAAACAGAAATTTTTTTTAAAAGTGCTAAATTGTCACTCTTAAGATAAATGACATCATCCTTTGACCTATTAAGCTCTAATTCCAACTTCTCTATCCACATCCTTCTCTCTTCACTTTTATTTGTTACCTTGCTGATTTGATCACTTAGGTTAGAATTAGTTATACGGGTTCTCTTTAAAATATCACTAAAATCTGAGACAGTATAATTTAAATCATCTAATTCAAAATCATAACGAGTAATAGGATTATTAATAGATTGGATTATAGAGTGTACCTTATTGATGACCTTCTCATTCTTTCACTTGTTCAGAAACAGGCTTCACAGCAAAGCCATTTTCAGAATCCTGAACACTATCAGTTACATAGCCCCTCTGATCCGAAACCGCTTTTTGAACCATCATACATTTTCCTTCATACTCCTGTGCTTCAGACTTTGCTAGAAAACACCCACCATGAGTGGGTTTCCGAACCTCCTCATCTTCCAAATTAGTGGACCATACCTCAACACGTCAATCTTCATCGCTACCTTCCTACACAATCAAAGCAGGCTTTCTGTTCACAACACTCTTCTTCCTAAGGTCCTTTATCTTTTAATGATATTAAGCTTTGTCCTTCTCTGTTTCTTTCTTTTCACTCATCCTTCTCAGTATACATTCTTTGGTAAAATGATTCTTTCCATGAAAGTAATTGAAGTAATAGCCTGAATCCCCTAACAACTTGTTTTCCTAATTTTCTTCTTCATGTTGAGAGTTCTTGAAGCTCTCTTCTCTTGACTTTTCAGAATTGAAGTTTCCCTGCATGTTCCTATTCTTAAATCGACTAAAATTCCTTTTAGTGAACTTTTTCGGGTTTGATATCATCAAAGCATATTCCTCTTTGCTAAGTTCATTGTCCGAAAAGTCGGATTATGAATCTTCTTTAGCTACCTTTTTGCCTTTCGCAACCAAGGCCAATGATCCTAGACTTGAGACAAGCTTCATGTCCTTCGTAACCTCATTTTCATGGGATCTAAGAATACCCACAAGCTTTACCAGAGAATAACTCTTGAATTGTTCATGAGATTTCATAGTTGACACAACCGCTTTCTATTCAGGATTTAATCCATTTATAAACATAACCTTTCGCTCTATTACTTTACGCCTCGGATTGTGCTTAAGCATCCTGCTCAATAGATGATTAAAACAGTTTAAGGTCTGACTGAGTTTTTCATCATACTTTTAAACAAAGGCTCTAAACTCAGACAGAAGCAACGTTTGCACGGAATGTTCCAGATCGGCATCGCTTGAATAAAGCTCTCTTAACCTATCCCAGATCTCCTTTGTCGTATCACATGCACTCACCAGACAAAACATGTCTGGAGGAATAGCAAAACTTATTATTCTCATTGCCTTGATGTTACTTAGCATCTTATCCTTTTCATAATGAGGAACATCTTTATAGTCAACAAGAAGATTATCGTATTCAGCTTGAGTCTTGATGACCTTCCTTGCAGCCGTGTGAGCGAATGTTTGTTGCGTGATTGCTTCCCATATTAAGGTACCATGTTCTTCAAGGCCAAGCACATAGTCTTCGAAGTGAAGGTCCCAAACTTCATAATCATGTGGGAAGAGGATCAGGATCATAGTAGAGAGATTAAAAGATAGAGTACGAGGATCTTCGTGCTGCATGATTTGGAGATTATAGAATCAGATGTGTAAAACTATAATCAAGTTTAGGGTAACAAATAGGATTCAGATCTGCCGTTTGTAATGGATAGAAATGTTCAAAACAACAAGAACAAATCCAATAACAACTCAAAACTCTAACAGAACTCGTCAGAAGATTAGCGTATAAGTCATACAATCTTCGATCTGATACCAACTGTTGAAACAATAAAAATGTACATCGAAAGATTCTACAAAAGACTTTAATCAATAAAAAACAATGAAGATAAAATAGTGCCAAATGATTATATTCAATATATTTAGAAGAGTTCAACGTGAATTTTTTTTGTATAATCTAGGTAGGGCAAATACGATCGTTAACCCTAGAACGATACATGCATGCACATTAAATAGTATAACCCTAGCAACCGTAAAGTCAGATGGACATGCCCAATCCTTTATAAATAAGAGTATATAAGTACAAAACATTTGGCATAACACTTTTAAAAACCCAACATATATATATATATATATATATATATATATATATATATATATATATATATATATATAACTTTTATATCCCTGTTATATTTTTATACTGTGCACATATGAATACTTCAATCTGGATATCTGTATATGGATAACTAATGATTGTTTATATATATATATATATATATATATATATATATATATATATATATATATATACACACACACACACACACACACAAACACACATACATACAAATAACTTGTATATCCGTGTTATATATTTTTACTATTCATATATGAATACTTTCATCGTATTCAAGTATTATCTGTTTTCATTTACCAAAAAAAGAGAAAAAAACAGAGAAAGAAAACAAGGAATCAAAGGGAAAAAAAGTCCAGCAAAACCAAAAACTCCTAAAAAGCGATAACTACATGATTCAAAATTTGATTTTGAAAGTAGTTGTTTAGCAAAGAAGCCATGGAAAAAGGAGTTACCAATTAAGAAAGAAAAGAAAAAACTCATGTAAAAGGAATTTTACTCAATGAAAAATGGATGTTCACCAGAGTCATTACTCTTTATAATCCTTTGGTTGAGAACAAAACAAAAAGAATGTGCAAGATCTATGGGTTTTGGAAGTCTGTTAAGAATGAAAGTAATTGATATACCACTAAAGCTAGGATTTTATATTCTTCAAAATTTTGATTCTGACAGAATGGTCATTGATGCTGAAGAAAATGAACTGAAAGTAACAACACAATCTGTTCATGACATGTTGGGGATTCCAACTAGCGGAACCATACTTACACAACTGGATCAATGGTCTAAAGATGATACATGTTATGATGAATAAAAGGAACCATTTGAAGAAAGAACAATCACCAGACTGAATGCAATCAAAAAAAATATTGTTCGTACCATAGAAGCTGATTTTAATTTCAAATTAAATTTCATGGTTCTTTTTGTCAACACATTTTGTGAGTCAACATCAATAGGAAAATGCAATCTGTTCCCTTTGAGTTGTATTTCAAGAAAAACATATATCAGCAACATCGACTGGTAGAGCTATGTTTTGGATTATCTAGTTAGAACAAAGAACTCATACATATTGTCACAACTGGAAATTTCCAAGTCTAGAAACCAAGCCAAAAGAGTCTTGTACATGAGATAGTTGTGGCTATGCTAATATTATATCTTGGTAATGTAATGTTTTTGAGGTTTATGCTACCCTAAAACTCCTATGAGCCATGCAAATTAAGGTAATATTGATTTTACATCAAATATGATCACATAAACAAACATATTAAGGATCTTACACATCTAGACCATAACTCTTCTTCTTGGACATGTTGGGCCATAAACAACTCCCAGGGAGTCACTTTGGCCGCAAACTCCTTCAAACACCCATAAGTGGACCGTGAACCACCCTAAGCATCCAAACATTGACCGTGAACACCAACCTATTCCACTTTAAGGACGTGAATAGCATAAGGCACCACCCTTAGGACGTAAACCACCTTAGTGGACTTTCCTTTGATCGTGAACCTTTCTTTAAGGTCCATCTAGACCGTGAACAATTTCCAAATTAAGTGTGTTCATGGTGGTTATGAGCTGTAATGCGTAGATTTCCAATGCATATCCCAATACTTCATGCATTACCCAACAGTAACCCAAGCAAATTTCTAATCACTTCCTTATCCCATATTAAGGGCCGTAAACCCCACTTCCTCAATTCACAATTTCAATTCCTCATTCTGTAAACTCCCTATAAACTCTCCCAAGGCTTCATCCAAGTTCTAGGAGCCATTTTCTTCATCAATCCTTCGATTTCTTGTAAGTGTTTCATGCCTAGTAAATGTTTCACACAATTAGTTATTTTTAAACTCCAACTAACACATAGATTTATGTGTTCATAATCTTATACTAGCTAGAATCTTCAAGAGGTTCATCCCACACTTCAAATGTTCTAGGCTATAACTCCTCATCTCATCCCTTCAACTACACTATATTCTACCCAGGGTGAGCTTCATACCCCTATCTTTTGAGTTTTCATTGTTTTTGGGGGAGAATACAAGTCAAGGGTCTTGTGAAATTTTAGTATGATTGCTTGTATATGCATGTATGTTATGATTTATGTGCGTAAAGTTATGAACCCTATATATATTGGTTCAAGAACTCGAGATTTTTGGCAAATCTCAAGGTTTGAACTATATATCACAAAGTACATGTTAGAAACAAAAACTAATATGTTTATGAAATATAAATAATAAATTGTTATATCAAGAATCATAAGGTTTTGCTTCAAAAATTGTTTAAACAAATTGTTAAACATAATATTTTGGAAATGGTTAAATTGGAGTATTAATGATATTTTGGGGACCATTTTCGGTCCCATATATATAAGGACCATTTTGTAAAATGGAATAAAATTGAAGAATTATTGAACATCTCAATTTTTAAAGGACCAAAAATGAAAATTTTAGATAAACAAGGGCCTTTTTGAATATTTTCACAAATATAAGTCTAAAACGAACATTTTAGAAGAAATGAGCCATTTTCAATAATTTACCTAGTTTTGAACCACATATGACAACTTTTGACAAACATGGGTCTTATTTGACGATTTATAAAAAGAAGGGCCATTTTGGCCAAATATCAATAATATTGGATCATTTTTTATAAATATGATTCAATGTGGATTATTTTTCAATAAGCAAAACAAAACTATATACCTAGTCAATCAACTAAATTTTTTTATTTATTAAATAAAGGATATCATCAGTTAGTACACATATTTGTTAGTATTCTAGTCAAACGCATCTTCATAGTACTTAAATATATAAATATATTAGTGTATGTTAAAAGTCATGTAAAGTGTTGTAACCAGAGTCTCCTAAAGGGAGAGCGAGAATTTGTATATAGATCTATATGGGGTTGACACCCCGCACATTCGTTGTTCGCTACAGCCAGACCGACCAGTCTAGGGTGTCAAATGTCTTTAACCGATTTGGGCGCCTGAGAAACGCCAAGATAGGCCTCTGTCATATTAGTATGGTTATAACGCCTCACTAGTATATAATAATGTATTTAGAAATTTATGTAAGGAAAACCTTACAAATATATTGGCACATTGTGTTAATAGCCCCTATGCATGGTAGTGATTGTCCACATTCGTTGTGTTGATCGTCCACTTGCGTTGCGCGGAATGTCCACAATCGCCTGTTGATTTCTCACACCTCACCAGTCTTAGGAATGTCCACAATCGCCTCTTGATTTCTCACACCTTACGATTTCGAAAACGATAAACTAAAACATACACACAGGTAACTATACTCAATTGGAAACAGAACTTAAAATTATTTTATACAAGAAAATATAGGATTTTCTGGAGAAAAACGATTTCACAATTTCGAAAGATGATAAACTAAAATACATACATGCAACTATACTAGATAGACAACAAGACTTACAACTGTTTTGATAAGAAAACAATGGAATTTTCTATATTTCTAAACTACCACAAGTTTTATACGAAAATGCTTATGAACTCACCAACTTTTTAGTTGACGCTTTTCAAAATGACTTGTATTCTCAGGAAATCAGTATGCACTAAGTAGGTTATACGGACGTGGATTTAGGATTATTTTGTTGTAGTTGGAATTTATTTACTTATGTCTCTTTTGTGTAATTCAAAGAACAAATACAATATGTAAACAATGTAAGTTTGTTATCTCAATGTATGATGTATGGATTTGCTATATTTCATTTATATTCAATTGTTATGATACTACACAATGAAGTCACCTACCTCCGTACATTTCCGCCATCTGATCCGGGGTGTGACACATACCATACTCGGATATCAACTACTTTATTGGACCTTTAGCTTTCTTGGTGCTATGTTATTCATAACTGAATATATTATAATGTTTTCATTCACTTTCTAATAAGATTAATTATTCATAACTGAATAACACATATTCATATTTTGAAAAAAGATAGTATTACTTGTTCACATGTAATGCTTTGCATTACTTATTCATAAATGAATATAAATAAATAATACTATATTTTGTAAAAACTCATGTATGAATATGAGCTAATTATCAATTATCTACAGTTGTTCTATACTGATAAAATCCGCTCGAAATCTCTAACGATAACATGTGAATGTTCAACTAATTGTTATTGGAGTTCAGAGAAGATTAGATATCAAGAGACATTTGAACAAGAAATAGGTAGATTTGGCCTTGGAGAATTGAATAAATAATTTGTTAATGAAGAAGTTGAAGGATATACAAATCTGGAAGACAATAATTGTGATAAAGATGAAGATGATTATGTTGAGGTAATTATTTTGAATATGTTAACCACATATGATGAAGGAAAACCTGAATTCAAAGCTCAATGATGCAATAACAAAGTTTTGTAAAAAGGAAAGTTTGAGGATTTTGAAAGAAAGGATGACAAATGTAATTTTTGAAGATAAAACTGAAAGCACAGAAATTTTGGAATTTCCAAGTATCGAAACTGGACGTGAAGGTACCAATTTGAAACTAGTTTTGGGAGAAAAAAGAAATGATGAAAAAGAGAATGAAGATAAAAAGGGAAATGGTGAACAACACAATGATAATGATGGACTTGAACCTGAAGTAGATTATTTTCTTGATGGAAACGAATTTGATAATGAAGGAACAAAAAATGATGGAGAGATTAATAGAAAAGAAAATGATGAAAAAAATAAGGCGAAACTGAAGCAAAAGAGAATGATGGAAAGATTAATGAAAATGAGAATGATGAAGAGAAAAAAGATAAGGAGACTGTAGAAACAAATAATGATGAAGAGACTAGTCGAAAAAATGAAAAAATCAAAATCTATTGGATAAAATTGTTGAAAACATTGTGGAGAATGTCCTTGGTATTGGATTTTCAAGTTTAAATAGTCAAGATGATGAAATATAGAATGAACCTGAAATAAAAACTATTTTAGGTAGTATTGACATAGGTAAATTTTGAGTTACTTTTTTTATAAAAATATATAATAATATTAATACACAATAACAAATTTTTTTTATTAAATTTTGAACAGGGTTAGTAATGACTGAAAGTAAAACTAATACTCCAATTAGTCAAGTTATTCAAGGTATGCATTTGTTTTTCATATATGAAAGAATAAAAAAATGTTACTATTAACTTATAAATTTTATTATAGACTTATTATTTATTTATAGATGAAAAATGTTATTATAGATTCAATAATCATTAATTAATTATAATTAATATATAATATGATATGGATCTTACAGGTATGGAAAACTCAGAAGGTGTACATAAACAAGGAAGAGAAGTTGAGAAGGGAAAGGGAAGATACATGTAAATAGATAATTCACTATTAAGTGAATAGATTACAATGCTTATATTGAATTTTTTAATAAGATTGCTTATTAATACACGTGTAAGACAATATATGAATGAGTAAAAAAGATAGAATATTCATATAAGATGTATATCTTTCAGGAAAAGAAAAGTCTAAAAATGGAAATAAAGAAGAAATTGGGAAGACAAAAGGAAATAATGGAGGTCGAGATAAACAAGGATTAGTTGAAACTACTGAGGAAAATAAATATAAAGGTGGACATAAACAAGGAGGAGAAATTAAGAAAGGAAATGCAGATGATAGAGGTAAATGGATGATTCACTAACAAGTGAATATAATAAGATTGATTATTTACAAGTCAATAAGACAGTATATGAATAAATAAAAAGGATAATATTACATGTTCATAAGTAAAGATGTGCACTACTTATTTATAACTAAATATATTATAATGCATACATTGATTTTTTTGAATAACCCATTTTTCATGTATGAATAAGTAAAAGATAGAATTACTTGTTCATAAGTAATGTTATGCATTACTTATTTATAAGTTAATATATTAAAATATTTATAATCATTTATAAATAAGTAATGAAATATTTTAAATATAGATAGAATATTCATATATAATGTGTATCTTTCAATCAAGGGAAAGTCTGAAGATGAAAATAAAAATAGAGGAGAAGCTGAGAAGACAAAAGGAAATGGTGGATGTAACAATTTGGAAAAACATATGAAAATTCATATATGATTGGAATGATAAATATTCAGATGTGTATAAAATATAAAAATATATTATAATTAACATATAATTATTTATATGATTCAACATTCACATATTATTTGAATTTTGAAGGTGATAAAAAAAAGGTTGAATTTGAGAACAAAAAAGCAGGTGATGGAGGTAAATAGATAATTTACTAATTATCTATACTTAATATATTACATTAAAATTTATATCTTTCATAGTATATTAATATATTATGTAAATTTTCTAGCAGGTAAAAAATCAAAATATGAAGATAACACTCATCTAAGCTTTAGTCTAGGTCTTAGTGAAGATTCAGATCAAACATCAAGTAAAAATTCTAATGATGAACATCAGAGGGTTGTGATCAGATTATCAAACAAAAAAGTTCTTAATCCAAATCCAATCTTTGTAGCAATTCCTACAGAAGAAGGACCATCAAACCATGATTTGGATGAATCAAGACCGAAGAAGCTTGTTGATCCTTTCAAATCACCTTAAAAATAAAGGATAATGGACACAACGCCTAAGCTAGCACATCAGGAGAGTATTTTATGTAACCGGTGAGTGGTTCTCCAAGTTGCAAGGGAATACATCGTAAGTAATAATATATGTCATTTTGATTATATATTTACATAGATGTGGTTATCCAAAAAAAAATATGGTTATGTAACACAAAGAGAATTTATGGAAAGTCTATATGCACAAAGATTTTTGCAGAAGTTTTAGACACTTGAGCTTATTTACTTAACCACGAAGAATTGGGAAGAGATGTCGAAAATTCTCCATTAAAACTTTTCCTGAAAGTTGAAGTTTTTGTAAGTTCGTGTTCTAACATTATTTTATTCTTTATTGATAAATGAACATACCAATATGATGTATTCATTTATGAATATTTGATTTATTTAATATCATTTAAGATAATTATGTATATGCAAATGAAATTCACGTATAATTGTAACAAAATGGTGTATTTAATTATGAATATAAAAATCAAAAATAAATATCTTTGGTATTCACTTATGATTAATATACCAATATGATGTATTCTTTTATGATTAACAACTTGCTAATCCTTTAAATTATTTTGGTTATAGAATGCTTATGTTCTTCAACATTGTTTGATGAAAGAAAGTATGAAAAATTCAAGGAGAACGTTCATCATAGCACTGATGGGTTCAAAAAAATCTTTAACATAAAAGATATTGACATGGTATGTTAATTTAACTTGTTTTTTTATATACATTTTATCAACAAAATACTTACCATTATATACATAGAAAAAAATAAGTATTCTTTCCAGTTGTTAGAAGTGCTCATATTTTTGTGATTGTCTTCAACTTAAAGAAATCATCAATTGAAATTATTGACAATAATGCAGTTGAGGGGGGTTATGAAGGGAAATTATTGAAACCTTTGGTAAGTACCTAATTCAAAACAACATATCAGAACCACTATATTAAATATCTAACTTTTATTTTATTTAATGATTAGAAAATTTTGTATATAAGATACTTTAAAGAAATAAATCATACAAGAACCAATGTCATCTCAAAAGAAATAGTCATACCATGACTTGAAATGCCAAGGAGAATAGTTAAAAATAAAGTTGATTGTGGGGTTATTGTAATGAGACATATAGAGACCCAAATGGGACAATCAATCTCAAAGTGGAAACCACACCTTTATAAATAAAGTGCAATTCAACAAACTACTTTAGAGAAGCTTAGACAAAGGTATGCGCACCGAATATTAACCTCTGAAAATAACATGTTGAAGGCTAAGGTGCTGGATCTTGCCGAAAAATATCAAAATGTGGAAATCACAATGCGTAGCGCTCATTCATACAAGGCTATGCAAAAAATTCAAAAAAATGTTAGAATAATATTGATGATTGTTTGTGATGAAGTTTGATGGTATGGGAGAATACTTTGTGATGAAGCTGAATACCTTTGGAAAACGTGTAAAATGTTTTTTGTGAAACAAGTTTGTGAACTAGTTTTATATGGTTTGTTAAGTGTTTTTGAACATCATTTAAATAGTGTATGAAATACTTGTGAACAGGTTTTATTATTTTGTGTTAAATGATTTTGTAATAGAAACAAGTTTGCTTATTTCTGTTAGTTTTTTATATTCTAATATTTTCAAAGTTTATGATAATGATTTATAAACAAGAGTGATTGCTTCTAATAGTTTTCAATTTTATTTATGTTTATGCATAAATGAATACCAATATGTTATATTCATTTACGTTTAATATATAAATAATAACGTTTTCAATCATAAATGAATACAAATATGATGCATTCATTTATGATTAAGTTAGGAATAATATGTAAATTCAACAAAGTTTACATATAAATATAACTTATTTTTTAGTATACTAGTAATCAAATATCATGAATACATCATATTTGTATTCATTTATAATGTATTCATTTATAACAGTTTTCAATTTTAATTATGTTTATTCATAAATGTATACCAATATAATATATCCATTTACATTTAATATGTAAATAATAACATCATCAATCATAAATGAATACAAATAGGATGTATTCATTTATGATTAAGTTAGTAAAAAAATATGATATATTCATTTATAACATGTATTTCACATATGAATATTTCATATATATATAAATGTCATAAGTAGTAGTTTCTAATAAATCCATAATGACACAAGAATATTGTATTATTCATACATGAATATTATTGTTTATGATTATTATCTGCATATATTCATAAATCAATAGAACGAAATAACATAAAAAATAAAAAGTCTATATGTCTTTTGTTGATTAAGCAGTTGCAATTCTTACTGGATATGTATGTAACTTGTGAGGAACTCGTTCTCCGCATCCTTAATACATTCTATGTTCTTATTTATAATTAACATATGTTTTTTCACCAGCACTTGGAATTCTATTCTTGATTCAAAAACCTTTATTGCTTTAAACTTGCGGAACATGAATATTCATTTCTTCTGGAATAGGAATAGAAACACCCGTAAGCTTGCATATGACTTCACCATCCGTCTTGCTTTTTAATCCACCAGATGTATAATCACTCTCAAATTCCATCAATGTAACAACCCTTTATTTTTCAAGTCAATTGAAGTCAAACTTTTTCAAATAAAAGTCTAAACTACAACCGTGTACAAGTGAATTAACATTATAACATTAATACAATAAGAACTTTGGATGCCAAGAATACATATATATATATATATATATATATATATATATGTTTATATATATGTATATGTATATATATATATGTGTGTGTGTGTGTGTAAATTTTGGAAACAATACTTATATGAGTTATATATACTTATATTGAAACCATGGATATATATATATATATATATATATATATATATATATATATATATATATATATATATATATATATATATATGTGTGTGTGTGTGTGTGTGTGTGTGTTATATAAGATGTTATGTGTCAACATAAGTCAATAGGTGAAGTTAAAATCAAAATTTAACACCTTAAATAGGTGATTTCGGTCTAGGGATTCTTGGATCAATTATGATTTCGGTTTAAAGCATCTAGAAGCATAGTGTTTTCGGTTCTGAGCATTTTTCAACAAATTTATGTTTTCGGTTTGGTATCCACCACATATGACCAAAATCAATATCTTAGGACCACATAGGATCAAAATCAACTTCTTAGGATCACATTGGACCGAAATCACTTCCTTCCATGTGATGTTTGTGCCTAAAACACCTATAATATCTAGATATTTTACATATTTAACATCCCAATGTGATATGATCGAATTACAAACGTAAACATCACCTCAACCGCCTATCTTTTCCTTCATATGTAAGATAAAAAATGAGATTAATTTAACACTTCTAGTAAATTTTCACTCCATATTTTTCTCTCAGGATACAAACCATTTTCCTCTCAAAGTTTAAAGATCAAATACTCCGTGGAACTTCTTTTCTTCAAATTAGATTCTTATGAAATCATTGTAAGTCCTTATAAAACTAGTATTATCACAATCATATTTACATTAGATCGTAATATTTACACATTATTACGTGTTTAAAACAATTAGGAACTTATTAGCTTCCCGTGTTCTAGATCGAAGTCACCGGTACAATCTTATTAACTAATCACGACTACATACAAGGTGAGTTCATACCCCTACGTTTTCATGATTTTTCACTGTTTTAGAGGGGGGGGGATACAAGTATAACACAAGAAATATTGTGTAAATATCTAAATATCTGCAAGTATTTCAACAGTTGTCATTATTAAAAACATATATATATATATATATATATATATATATATATATATATATATATATATATATATATATATATATATAGAGAGAGAGAGAGAGAGAGAGGAATGATCATTTGAGAACCTATACTTTCCCAAGAACCTGAGATCCAAAAAAGGACTGTTAGATCAAAATAATAGAGGGCCAAGATGATTTGTGGTATTTTTGTAAAAAAACTTGGAAATAAAAAACACAGGGGTATCTTATTTCAATTTGTTAGAGGGCATTTTAGGGATAGAAAACTTATACCTGATCCTGTCAAACCCTTTCCTTATATTATTTCTCTATGTTTGTCATCAAATCTCTCTCCCTCTCACGTTCTTCATTGACGATAAAGACGACTGCGTCCTCCATCATCCGTCGTCGATCGCCTCCCTCCTACCATCACCGGCCACCTCTACCTCTGTCGACCACCACACTCCTTGATCTCACGTTCTTCATAGAAAAAAAATCCAATGAAGATGCTTTGATTTTGAATCATTTTATCCTCCATCAATTTGTTCCCCGGAGTACACCATAATTGCCGACTTCATCTTGGCCTCCTCTGTGGATTGAAGACCTAAACGGAGAAGAAGATCCTTTGTCGATCAAGAATTCAAAGTGCAAACAATATGAAAAGTGCTTCTAGTATTGATCGCTATACTTACGCCTGAAGCACTTGACCTTAGCCTATCAGACTATCCCTAACTCTCGATATCGGTCTCAATTTTCATCCACTAGAAGTTGCCTAAACAGAGGTTTTTATTTTTCTGCATTTCTTCGGTTTTTTAGATCAGATGTCACTTTTGCTTTTCTACTTTACCAAAATTAAGTTGACAATCTATATGCTTGTTTGTATTCTGATTTAGTTATCAGATTCAATACAATATGTGATATTGAAACTACTTATAGTTTAGAAGTTTTCTTATTAAGAAGAACATTTTTGTGAAAATATAAAACTATATTGCTCTTTTCCTTCATGTGTTGCCTTATGAATATTGTTGTTCTTTTTAACATGGACCTTTCTGGTGAAAATATAGTCAATTTGTATTCAAAGTGTCAGGTTTTCTGAAGTGCACACAAGTTGCTCGATGAAAGTCCTGAACCAGATTTAGTTCCGTTGCTTTAATTTTAAGGTAGATTGGCTTAATACAAGTATACAACTTTGCATTCCTTTGTTTACTTCTAATAATCCATGATATTTT